AGAATGAGTAAAACAATAAAAAAAATAAATAAAATAGAAATAAAATATACAATACAATAACTTACTGGAGATGAAAACGATGATAGGCTCTTTTAAAAGTCATGATTATTCCTGTGTTTATTGGTTGTATCCTAGAAGTTGTATTTTTGGATAAAAAATATACATCTACATACCGGAGGGTTAACCCGTCTAATTTATGACTAGAATAATTGTCAAGAAGTAAAAGAACATGCTGGCTCCTATGCTTCTGCAATATTTGGTAATCAAAATCCTGAAGCCACTCTTGAAAAAGAATCACAAGCATCCAAGCTTTAGCATTGCTCCTATATGTCATAGTCAAATTATTAATTTTTACATTTTTGAAACATCGGGGTTTGGTATATTTGCCAATTATAAGAGGGGCCAACTTATGGGATCTATCAGCATTTGCACATAATGATACAGAAATACATTCCTTATTTTTTTTGCACTCTGCAATTCACCGAGTTGCTAAGGTTCGATCCGGTTCCAATCTAGAAAGAAATTTTTTTATTAAAAAAAAAAAAAAAAAAAAAAAATTTTATCAAAGAAAAAAAAAATCACCAGTAAAAAAGTCCGGTTTCGTCCATATTATATATGTGGTCAAGAGAGTATTCAGAGCATTTACTTTGCAATAAAGGTAAGGATTCAGTAATAACATCCTCATCAACAGAACCTGCTTCTTCATGAAGCTTTATCTGATGGATTCCATTTCGCTCTTTAAATTTTTGGAGCCACCCAGAAGAAAAATATAACTTATTCCTAGTTTATCCACTATCAATTTTGCCTTTTCGATCATCATAGCATCGCTTAGAATAATGCGGTGTTGATAGATTAGTATGAATTCCTTGAGTGCTAGCTCAAGCTCTGGTACAATAATGGTCCTATGTCGCTTGGCATCTGGATTTACGATTTCATTTGAAAGTTGTTGATCCTTAGTTTGTAAGATTCGAGTGACCGTAGACTCATTAATTTTAACCTCCATTTGTCTTCAATCTACTTCATATATTCTGGATGGGTTCTCTTATTATCACAAGCATAGATACAGAATTCAAATTTTTGTGTGTCCGTTAAGGTTGTTCTTTTTGGCATTATTTAAAAAACATTACATGAAAAAATTAGAGGGGCGCAAAATTATTGCTTAGAAGAGAACGCAAAAGCGTTGATTATCAAATTTAAAGGGGCCACTAAAGTGGCAGATTCATTATTTTAAT